AAACCTGAAAGTTTCAAGATGTAGGAAAACTCAAACTTATTTAAAAATAGTTTTTCTTTTAATAAATAGGAAATTTCTCTGGCATTTCTTTCTTTTTGCTGTATCGTATCGAACCGAACCGCAAATTTTGTGAACTGTTACACCCCTAATGTATATATATATTCTCATTATTTTTTTTAAACACTTTTAAAAAAAAATTATTTTTTGTTTACATGCCTGTCGGGTATTTTAAGTTGAGGTGCTATTTGTTTTTATATTAGACTTTTTCTATATTTACTGTGGCACTAAAGTCCAAAAGTGAAGATTTTATGTTATTTATTACTTGATTGTTCAAGCTACCTCACATAAGTGCTCTGTTTGTTAACAGAGTTGTTGAATGTTAAAATAAGGTGAATTAAATAAAAAATAAGGAACATCCTGGATCTGTTTTCTCTCTCTTCTTTATTCTTTTTTAATGTATTATATAAGTATCGGATCGGGACTCAGTATCGGTAGATACTCAAAATCAAATGACTCGGAGGCAAAAAAACCTGATCGGGACATCCCTAATATATATATAAAATATACATTGTACCTACTTTTACACACTTTGATATCTATGCTGTGACATCTATCTTCCCATTTCAATAGAGTACAACAATTCCTTTTCTCCATACAAAAATACTTGCTATTTAACTTACATTGAAACGATTTAGATTGTAACATTTTATTTAATTATGTAATTTGTCAAATTTAAGCAGCCAGTACCTTTGTAGGATTTTCAAGTATTTTTTTGTTTTTTTGTTGTTGCTTTGAATCAAATGTTATAATGTTATGATTAATCTCAGAGCTGGTTGTTTTGGTTTAAAGACTCTTTTTTATTAAATGTTTAAAATCAAATTGCCTAATGGAGAAAAATTAATGGGAATAAAAACACTTAGGAAGGAAAGGAAATAAAATACTTCTGGAAACGAGGCTGCAGAAAAAAGTCAGTGGTCACTTTTGTGCTCTATAGGAAGGTGCTGAAGCAGTACAATGTCATGCTTGTACTCCCCAAAATATCACAAAAATCAGTTTTGCAATGGCTCTAGGTGGTAAGCTAAATATGGGTAACCTTCCCTCAACTGTTTTAACAGTTCCCATGGCAATAGGAAAGTTGGCGTGGGCCACCACACATGTTGGTGACACCTGTAAGCAGAATGAGAAATGAAGTGTGCAGCCGTTCTTACTGGAATTTTTGTGGTAATTATGCTGTTGCAGGTACAGTGTGGTTGAGTAGCAGTTGTGAATTGGGAGCACATGAGAATAAAAATGAGGGGGAAAATAACGTGATTGTTGTCATAACCGGATGTATACAGGCAAAATCTTGTCAAACAAGAAAAGCACAGACCATATGCCGTCACCGTCACAGAGTATTCAAGGGCAATCCTGCTTACAGAACCAATTTTTATGGATTGTCAGTGAAATCTCTACTCTGCAGCTGCCGTGCAGGGGGTGACGCGTGAAAACCCTTCACCTGTGCTACTATCCATTCCTGGATAACTGCGTGGGAGGTGGCCGGCTGAAAGCCTACATTTACCCACTTTGGTGTAATTGCTGCGTTTACTCTTTGATTGCCTAAGAGCTCCATTCATACTTCTGCCTCGTTGGATGAGAGCTTCTGCAGTGGGGTTGATTGCTTTACAATGGCAGATCAAAATATTAGAGTGATCCCTCTGAGCAGTCACAGTAAGCGTTTGACTAACAGTTATTATTACGCTGTCTGTCAGAGTAATAATAAAGGAGGCTAAATTGGTAATTATAGAAGAGCATGAACCAGCTCTTTTTTTCCACATTGAACAATTTGCTGCTTGCTTTTTACATTTTGAGACTAAACACTTCAAGCGATAAAACAGATCTCTTCTGATTAGAAGACTAAAGTCATGCAAGTAAAGGCGCATCTTGGAATTCTGCTGTAAACTCCCACTTAGCATTAAAATCAGCACAGTACAGTATGTTAAATACAATACCCGCATAATTTTTCCACATATCACTTTACTCTTATTGTCTAATCCTAAATTTATAAAAAGAAATTGCTTTATATATATATGTGTATATATATATATATATATATATATATATATATATACATACATATATAATTGCAATTTCTTTATATATATATATAATATATATATATACACAATTTAAAACACAAATTAATTTAAAAGACTGTTCTGATATCAATAGTCAATATACTTTCACCATGTTCTCTGGGAGGAGCAATTTTATAGGAGCTCTTTTGCCAACAAACCAAGTGCCATTGCATTCTAGGGTGGGGCAAATTGAAGTTGAAGAATAGGCTTCCTTTCATTTCACGAATGTGTGAATTTGAATTTAATTGGCCAAATGTTGAAATGGATTTTGAATTGGAATGACAGGAAGATGAATTTTTACTCAATTGCAATTCAACGAAATTATGTTTCCAATATATTTTTTTCAAGTTTTGAAGATTTTGAAAACAATTTGTTGACTTTGTTAACATGCATCATGAATTAACAATGATCAGTACATTTACAGCATTTAATAATCAAGGCTAATGGTAATTTCTATGCATATTAATACATTTTATAATATTATCAAGTTGTAAAAATTAACATTAATGTATGAAAAAACATGAATTACTAATGAATAATAGAATATTTATAAACTAACATTAAACTAGATTAATAAATAGTGTAGAAAAAGTTGTTTATTGTTAGCTAATGCAATAAATAATGTTAACAAATTGACTTTATTGTAAAGTAGACATTTCTAAATTTTAGACGCGGCTGTCATGCCAACATTCAAAGTTAATCTTAACAAACTTTCTTAAATTACACTTATTTGCGTTTTTATGAATTTCAATTCATTTGAATTCTACTTCCTTAAATTCAGTTTTCAATTCTAGTTCCTGTTTGCCACTTCAATTCAACTTCAAATTCAGAATATAAAAAGCATTCTCAATTCAATTCTAAATGGCGCACAACCCCGTTGCATACACAAACACATCTGTGAGATGCATTCCTTATTGAAGCACAGACGGTCTCATTATTTTTTATTTGATTATTTGGTTAAACGCAGGCCTTTGGCAGGCTGTCTCTGCACCAGTTGGCCCATGGGCGGATAGTGAAGTTAAGAGGTGCAAACCTTAGTCAGGAGTGGTGCGGTACTGTGGAGCCCCACGATCTGCCAACAACCCAACAGTGGTGCCATCACTGACTCAGTCACTGACCCAGAGCCCCCACCTGCATAAGCAACGATTTGAGCGGTAGGACCCAGCGATGCCCATCTCAAGCTGCCCACTAGAGCAGAAGGCCCTTTGACTCACGCCCATCTGGCCTGCTCGCACGTTAGAGTACGCCAAGGTCTGTGAGCACTCTGCTAACTTCCCTACCCTTCCCAAGAGGGGACAGTTAACAAATCGGGAGTCCTAAAAGTTTTGGTGACGAACAACTTTTTTTTCTTGTCAAGACAGCATGTGGTTAACATGGCGATGACAAGTCAACATTCCACCTCCAGGTTTTCCCACATACATACACAAATACACAAACACAAAAGTTCAATGTTGCACCCTGTGTGGGAGTTAAAAAGGATGCACGTTATGGTCTTCTTCATTAATTATTTCCATCTAAACATGTCACGAATCACATGATTTCTGATGATACTGCCATTCGGTATTTGGTAGAGGGTAAATATTCGTCAATATTTTGCATTTATTCATTTGGCAATTTGCAACCTTATCTCATGAAATCAGACTTAATAACCAAACATACACTCTCAGAAAAATTTTGCAAATATTGTACCTTTAGGGGTACAACAGCTTGTCACTGGGGCAGTGCCGTTATAGGGACATACCTTATTTACCCCTAAACGATTCATTCTAGTACCTTAAAGGAGAACTCCGGCGCAAAATGAACCTTTGGTCTAATTACACATTGTTACCTAGTCAACCGTTATCTGAGATTTGTTTTCATGATTATCGAATGTAAATAGTTTTATCTCTAAAAACAGTTTAGCCTATAAAGCTAGTATAACGCTAGTATATTGGGCATAGTGTAATGACAAATAAAAATCGCTTGTTAATACCACTAACAAGGCTGAAAATAGACCCACACTAACACGGTAGCATAATGAGGGTCCCTACCTTCAAACCGAAGCATTGAGAACTTTGTAAGTGTACAGACAGTTTAATAAGAAGATATTTTAAACATACAGTCAACTTCGCGTATACAGGCAGAAGCCATCTTTGAAATACAGCCTTTACCAGTCGATCTACGAACGCCGATCCAAGTGCGCTGGTGAGAATGTGAACGAGCTATAAGTTGTGATAAGGTGAGCGCGAACAGCAGGCTTGGATCGGCGTTCGTAGATCGACTGGTAAAGGCTGTATTTCAAAGATGGCTCCTGTCTGTATACGCGAAGTTGACTGTATGTTTAAAATATCTTCTTATTAAACTGTCTGTACACTTACAAAGTTCTCAATGCTTCGGTTTGAAGGTAGGGACCCTCATTATGCTACCGTGTTAGTGTGGGTCTATTTTCAGCCTTGTTAGTGGTATTAACAAGCGATTTTTATTTGTCATTACACTATGCCCAATATACTAGCATTATACTAGCTTTATAGGCTAAACTGTTTTTAGAGATAAAACTATTTACATTCGATAATCATGAAAACAAATCTCAGATAACGGTTGACTAGGTAACAATGTGTAATTAGACCAAAGGTTCATTTTGCGCCGGAGTTCTCCTTTAAGGGTACATAATTACTACTCTAATGTACTAATATGCACCTTTTAGTGCTAGATAAAGTACCATGTTGTACCACTAAATGTACAATTTTGCACTTTTTTTCTGACAGTGTAGGACAGTGGACAGTCTTGGGCAGTGTCCAAGATGCAAATGACACAAATGTGACCTCACAAACTGCTAGATATGCATGTATAGTCAATGTAAACACTTTATTTCAGTGAAAGCTGACTTCAGATAAAAAACTGACTGACCTGCCCGGGTTTGATGTCCAGAAACTGCAACACTTCCTTCACCATGACTGGTGTGTGTAAGGGTCTCTCGCTTTGGGTTGACATCTCTGAATTTTTTAACTCAGAATCAGGGCTTGAAGGCACTGAGCCAGTATAGGGCCTCAATGGATGCCACAACTTCCTCCTACATCGTCTGAACATCCTGGAGCCGTGGTCAGGAATCACGTCTTTACACAGTCCCAATGTCCATTTGCAAGGTGTAACCATGAAACGATATATAGGCATTTGGGTTCTGCACAGAGAAGAGGACAAAAAAAAGGTATGAGATATAATGAGAATAATACTGACAAGCTATATAATCCAAGAGATATCATTTTTTCAAACATGATATCTGTTATACTTAAAAATGCAAATGGTGTGAACATGCAAAAGTCATAAGATAAACTACTTTCTTATACATTTAATATTACCCATCAGTCAGTTTATAATTAAATGTCGCAGCATTTAACATCTATTGAGAAACTTCCGCCAATATGATAGACACAAGGACACGTGCAGGACACCAGAGCATAGGTTTTTCAGGGATATGTTAGTGATCAGATTTTCAGTTTTTAAAGGAAGTGCATGTATTTGTTGTCATGTCTGTCAACATGTGATGTATTTACATACGTCTCCGCACACACCATACATAATATTCAAAGGTCAATTCGTAAACATAGAACTTACTATGCAAACAGATAAAACAATACAGCAGGTTGTGAATGAATGATTAATCGCTATTATACTAATAAGCAAGGTTGTTTGGTCCTTTATTCAGCGTGGAGGTTCATGAGTGCAGCTGTGACGGCTCCCGGAAGAAACAAGAAATTATTTTGTGTTCCGATCCTGCAACAGGACGAGCACAATACACTGAGATACAATATAGCGATATTTTACATTATGTAGAATGTGAATAAATTCATATGCGATACTTCAATTAATGGTCATCAGTTTAATCACAATTTCTCAAATTATACACATATATTTTACTTCATACATAGTTCAGTGATGCATGCATCTAAAGAAATAAGTAAACATACATATATGTGCTTTAGTCACAACTGTGAGTCTCATGCTACAGAGTCAAAAATCTGTTGTTGTTTTTTAGAACCAATAGAAAGATACAGCAGTAAATTAACATAATTGTATACATTTGCAGGCATATAGTTGTCTGGAAAGTGAAATATTTGTTTTCATTTAATAACCATACAATTTAATAATCAATCAGTTAAATCAAAAAGGGGCTTTGGGTTTTTCCACATGGCATAAATGTGACCACTTCCATATTTACATGTTTCGAGATTATGAATATATTAAAATATGGTAATGGTAGTATCGGTATTATTCAGTAATCAGGTATTTTTTCCCCTGAAGCTTTGAAACGGCAGTTGTGTGTTTATTGTCTTCATGTTTAATCAGTCAAAGCGTCTCTATCTTCTTTTTATTCCATTACTTTGAAACATCATCGGGGCAAAATAGATCAGTGACTTAACTGAAATCTGCTATATATTACATGGTTTCGAAATCATATTTGTGCAATATTTCACCGTGAATAAAATTCTCATTCGCCTAGATCCAGTCATAGCGTCATACGCTATGGTCATACGTCCCTGACGTAAGAATGCGATCATCCAATCAGATGCAGGGACGGAACAGCAGCTTGTGTTTGAAATATTCGCGCTTGTGGTTTTGGATTTGCTTACTATCAGCTCAAATGTAGGCTTTAAAAGTACAAATTTATCTTAATACCATAGCCAAATCATTCGCCGTGGATTCCTATTGTATCAGATGGTAGGTTATACACATTTTATAGCGTTAACTTGATCTTTTGTGATAGAAATGAAATGAATGAGCAGTTAGCTGCAGCTTTTAGCGCGACGCTAGCAGATGCTACTAACTAATGCTATTACTAGTTTTAAAGTAAAATCAGTTAAACTTTATAGACGGATGATATAGTCAAGCTTGTAATGAATGTAATTGGCCTTGTGTTACTGTGCGATTAAAATGAATTGGCACCAAATCTGGTTTGCAGTATGTAAGTTTGGTTTCAACAATGGCCTTTATAACGTTAGTTACTAAAACATCCTGAGTAAATTACAGTCTATGAGAGAATTTGATGGCTGATATGCAGTATGAGGCTCAACGTTAGTTTTATGTTGAGCCCCCTTCTCTTAGAGTTTATTTATAATGGTATCAAGCCACAATAAAACAAACTAATGTATGTTTCCAGCATGTCGACACTTAACGTTACAAGTGAATAAGTGTCATAGGATTTGTTTTTCTCTACATAAAAAGTACTGAATAATTATTTGTAACTTGCTCTTTTTCTGGTATTTTATTTCCTTTACTGTTAGATTCTTTGAAATCGCCCTATTTATAAATATTATTCTCTTGTGTTGTACAGATACACAAACATCAAGAAGCAGAGATTTTCTGTGGGAAGCTGTAAAACAAGACAATGTCAGATGTGGAGGTGTGCAGCCACGTGAAAGTGGTGGTTCGTGTTCGTCCTTTAAACAACAAAGAAAAGGATGGAAATTGCAAGAAGGTTGTCCACGTTGTTGACAACCACATGCTTGTCTTTGATCCTAAAGAGGAAGAAGTGACATTTTTCCGGGGACAGCGGGTAGGCAACAGGGATGTGCGAAAGAGAGCCAATAAGGATCTCAAGTTTGTATTTGACAGCGTGTTTGGTGAGGACTCTTCACAGCTGGAAGTTTTTGAGAACACCACTAAAGCAATAGTGGATGGTGTCCTGAATGGCTACAACTGCACTGGTGAGACATTTTTAATCTCTTCATTGAATCTGTAAGTAACTTTCTGTGCCATGTAGGCCCTACTTGGTTTCAGCTGTAAAACCAGGATTTATTATGCAATTTTGGGCTGATAGTCTTTGTCTTGCTAGAAGTTGATACAAAATGTGAATCCATGTCAGTAGCATAAAAGTTTTTGAAGTGCCTGATGCCTTTCTCACATTTTGTTACTGTTACAAGAGCAAGGCCTGTGTTTTTTTCCCATTCCACCATGCTAGAGGGATCTTTTTCTCAAAAGCATCGTAAGCCTAAGTAGATCGTAGAACTATTGACACCAATGGTGTCTACGATCAACTCAGCATACAATGTGTTTGGGAAACACACCCCTGGTCATTTATAAATGTGTAATTTTTAGATGCAATTATGTTTTGTCACTATTTGACACTTCTCAGGAAATCAGACTGTTCAGATATTTCTTGTCATTATGGCAGTGGTATAGCTGATCAAGTTTATTCCTAAATTTGTGTCTTTTCATTTGACCAGTGTTTGCTTATGGAGCTACTGGAGCAGGAAAAACGCACACCATGTTGGGCACTAGTGATACCCCAGGAGTGATGTTTCTCACTATGAAGGAACTGTTTGCTCGTATGGACCTCATCAAGGAGGACAAAGTAGTTAACATAGCTTTTTCTTATCTTGAGGTGAGGTTTCAAATTTCCACTGTCTGTTAACAGTATTGTCCATTTATTAATTCAGATTTATTGTAGTTTTTTACTTCTTGATACCTGGATTTTAGAATTGTATGTGTCATATACACTACCATTCAAAATTTGGGGTCGTTAAGATTATTATTATTATTTTATGATTCTGAAAGAAGTCTTTTGTGCTCACCATCAGCAAGGCTGCATTTATTTGAACAAAAATACTGTAAAAACAGTAATATTGTGAAATATTGTTACAATTTAAAGGGGACCTCTTATGCCCCTTTTTATAAGATGTAATATAAGTCTCAGGTGTCCACAGAATGTGTCAGAAGTTTCAGCTCAAAATACCCCACAGATCGTTTATTATACCATGTTGTAAATGCCCGTTTTTGAGTGGAAACTATGCTGTTTTCATGCCTGTATCATTAAATGCAAATGAAGTACATCTCGTGCCTTGGATACTCTGCCAAAAACTAAAACATCTGTTTGGTTTTGTTTATCATCTCTATCGCGTTCACGCTCACGTGACATTGCAGTTCTTCGTCATCATGAAAGTTTATTATCTGCATGCGTTTTAAAGCTGTATCAATCAATCTAAACTTATTAAATATGGTTTTCTGAGCACAAGAAGCTGGATGTCAGATGGCATGTCCCGTGAGTATTAAACTAAGTTCTCTTTCATGTCTTATTGCGCTTAAACTGTAAAATGCACACAAGGTTATGTCAAAAACACACAAAGTTCACATAAACCCAAGCAATCACATGACGTCACATTGCATAGAAACTGAAAACGGATTATTCTGAGACACTGCTTATAATTTATGGATAAAAAAAGGGAGTGGGTGGATTTTTACCATTATTGGGTGGTTGTGTACGCTCACTGCCGACACACATTTATGTTCAAACACCATGTAAAGGTGAATTTTGCAAAATAGGTCCCCTTTAAAATAACATATTTTAATATTAAAAATGTAATTTATTCCTGTGTGATGGCAAAGCTGAATTTTCAGCATCATTATTCCAGTCTTCAGTCTTATTGTTTTGATCATTCTGAAGTTCATGAGCCAATGTCTGACTGATTTAGTTTAATTACCTCCTATTATCTTACACGATTGGGTTCCCAAACACCAGGCATCTGAATGCAACGCGTTTCGTTGTCTCCTCTGAGATGCAAGTCATATGATATTGGAAAAAAGAGCCAAAATAGCTAAGTGTCCTTAACCCTTCAAATTGAGAAAATTGAAAATACGGCCAATGGAAAGAAAAAAAAACCCATATATCGCAAAAAAGTTTACGCTCACATGAGGTGGGTTTTCAGGCAATTTAAAAAAAGAATATTTCAGAAAACTGCAATGGAAACGATTTTTTTGCATTTACAGCAGGGATGGAAATTAACTTTTTTTGTCCACCTGCCTCTGTGGCTGGTGGATTTCAAAATCTACCAGCCACTCAACGTTTTTACCAGCCACTTTCTTGTTTTTAACCGACAATGTGTAACTGCATGTGAAAATTAATACTACAAGATCTACAATACTTAAGCCATTTATTCCATAGGGTAAAGTCTCAAGGTGTGCCTCCTCTAAAAGTGTCCAGTTGAAACAGCATGCTACTTTTATTTACCCGCCATGCACGGTGGCTGGTAGGTGAAGCGAGTTTACCAGCCACAACACAAAATCACCAGCATTTGGCTGGTGCTAATTTCCATCCCTGATTTACGGGTCACCTACAGATAACATGCTTATGTCTTCGATTAAAAATAATGGCTGGTGTGGTTGCTGCGATATACTTAAACCTACCTTTTGTCATGATTTTTCAAAACCTAACATCTTTTGTCATGATTTTTGGAATTAATTGTCACGAGGATAATTACGTTTTATTCGCATAACATCGTTGAATGGAAGTCGCCGTCGTTTTACAATAGTTTTTTCATCGACATTTAGAAAATATTGCAAAAGTTTTGCGCTAATCTGTAATTGAAACCCGGCTAATGGCTTCCCTGATTGCAGCATTTGCAGATTGCAGATTTTTTGTGTTTGTTGTTTTTTTTTACAGATATTTTTCATTTGTATTGCAGAAATTTTTGTGCCAATTCCCCAGGAAGTGACAATTTTGTTTTCTTGAACACATGGAATGGAAACGCTGCTTTATTTGCGAATGTTTTAGGCGATATTACAATTTTTGTAACAGTTTTGTTCAATTTAGTTTGATCTTGTATAAATAGTCTTACTGACCTCAACCTTTTGAACGGTACTGTGCATGTTTTAAAGGTGCACTCAGTGTTTGTTTTTTGCATTAGTCAAAATATGGCAGTCATCTACTGACACTTAGCAGCGTGGATGCAGAATCACACA